CAACTGTGATCGGTAAGGGGAGGTGTCAGAGAAGGTGCTTCTGCTTTAGTGGTGGATGATCATTTCAGGAAAGCACTGAGATGCTCTGCCAGGAGAGTGTCACTACTTTTCTAATCCTGGACAAGCACGAGTTAAGAAAATATTGGAGAGTCTGTAAATATAGACCCAAAGATTTTTCTCTGTGCTGCTTTTCAGAAATTGTTTGGCATATAGGGATTAGGGAGATTCTAGGGCTGAATTGTGGGCAACTGTTGTGTAAGGTAGTGGTTTTCGTAGTTTGAATTGTGACATAGACACTCCCTCCTCTTAGTAACCTGGTTCTTCCTTTTTCTTCAGATCTTCCTTTATCAATTGTAATGAACCACTTATCTTGGTAAATATTGTTTAGGGCATATTCTGACATATTATTATTATTATTATTGATTATTAACAATAAGTATGATATATATGATGTTATGGCCTGGTAGAATCAATTTAATCTCTGCTAAGTATTAAAGAGTACTTAATCCAAAAAAAAAATTACTTAGAATTGACAGATTTAAAAGCATGAAATGAAGTTTCTAAAGAGATAAGTACTAAATAAAGGCATATATTCAAAGAAGTTTAGAGGTATGGTATTAAATAGCAAACTTCACTGTTCTTTTCGTAGGATGTTCTTACCAATTGATTAATTGTTCAATAGAAATTAATAATTGGTTTCATTAAAGAGAAAACAAGGAGCAAGGCTAGTTGACTAATTAGGCAGGCTTAAAAAACGAGTTGTGCTAGTGAAATTGATGAGACAGATTATAAATTTTTAATTGCCATTCTGGTTTACCAATAAGAATGAAGAGTTTATGTTCAGTCAATACGTTCTCTCTCATACAGAACTGTTTGCTTCCAAAATGAAATTATTTAATTCCCCTAAAATACTTATCAAATAACTACTCTAAATAATATACTGTTTCAACTATTGAGAGGGTGTTGGGAATGATGTTGGAGGAAGAGACACAGAAATGAAATGAGCACAGTCTCTGCTTGCAAGATTGGAGAAGATTGTTTATATAAGGAATTGGTCATCTTTTTTCTCCAGATTTTTTGAGAGTTTTAAGTTCACAGCAAAATTAAGAGAAAGGTACAGAGATTTCCCATATACCCACTGCTCCCCTCCCCCACCAAAGCAGTATACTTATTACAGCTGAAGAACCTACATTGACACGTCATAATCACCCAAAGTCCATAGATTTTAGGGTTCACTCTTGGTCTTGTACATTCTGTGGATTTGGACAAATGTATAATGACATGAATCCATCATTACAGCATCATATAGAATAGTTTCACTGCCCTAAAAATCCTCTGTGCTCTGCCTATTCATCTCTCCTCCCACCCCCACTCAAATCCCTGGCAACAGGTGATCTTTTTACTATCTCCATAGTTTTGCCTTCTGAAGAATGTGGTGTAGTTGGAATCATATAGTATATATTCTTTCAGATTGGCTTCTTTCACTTACAAATACACACTTAAGGGTCCTTCATGTCTTTTTGAGGCTCGATAGCTCTTTTTTTTTTTTAATGTTGAATAATTTTCCATTATATGGATGTACCGCAGTTTGTTTATACATTCACCTCTTAAAGGATATCTTGGTTATTTTCCAGTTGTGGCAACTATGAATAAAACTGCTATAAACATCTGTGTGCAAGTCTTTGTGTGAATGTAAGTTTCTAATTCCTTTGGGTAAATACCAAGGAGCGTGATTACTGGTTCATATAGTAAGAGTATGTTTAACTTTGTAAGAAACCACCCGACTATCTTCCAAACTGGCTATATCATTTTGTATTCCCATCAGTAATGTATGAGAGTTCCTATTTCATCACTTTCTCATCAGCATTTGGTGTTGTCAATGTTCCAGATTTTGGTCATTCTAATAGGTATGGTGCCTCATTGTTGTTTTAGTTTACATTTCCCTTTAATTTACACAAATGTTTATAGCAGCTTTATTTATAATTGCCAAAACTTAGAAGCAACCAAGATGTCTTTTGGTAGGTGAATAGATAAATTGTGGTACATCCAGACAATGGAATATTATTTCATATGTAGCTCACATTATATTTCTATTGAGCAGGACTAATCTAGACTTTATTCAACCATTGAAGATGTTCGCACAGGAGATTGATATGATCAAAATTTTGATTTAGGATAATTCATCTAGCATGGTGTCTGATGGATTAATTTTTGAAGGAAATTGTTGGAGGTAAGACCCCTTAGTGATGCATAGCTGCAATCCAGTTTAGACAGGAAAATCAACATTTCTCAATCTTTTTCTTGCTTCACCCTGGGGGTGTTTTTTCTACAGTGTTTTCAGATTCAAAATGAACTCTGCCTACACCTAAACTAATAAAGGAAGATTAAAAATAACATGCTGTAACAAAAGTTGTTCTTTATGAGGAATATTACAAATACAAGCAATAAGTGGAACTAACCTTGGCGGACTTTAGAGCAGTCATTAACTTGTTTGTGTGTTTTGAAATGCCATTTACATTGTTCTGTGAAAGAGGCAGTTTCCCCTGTCTTTACTTTGGAACTGGTTAAAGCCCTATGGTTATTACTTCACTTTAGGATTTGGGGTTTGTTTGTTTTCCCGCTTGGTTATCACACTAGCAGACATCCTCTCACAGAGTAACATGACACTAGGATTGAGATTTCTGCCTGCAGGTATCTACATTTGGATCAAAGGGATTTCAGACCATTATTCCATTCATTGCCTTAATTCTACAGAGCCCCACGTTAAACAATTAAGTAGGAATTCCATAGCATTCCTTCCCAACCTATTCAGTTTTGAAATTTATTGGCACCTTTCTACCTCTTTCTTTTTCAGTAAAAAATGGGAGAACATCTCACAGAAATCAAACAACACAGAATACATACTTTAGGACATTTACTTGTGGGCCTACCCTAATATACTCCCTCTACGTCGATCACCTGAGCTGTGACTCCTGACTGGGGCTTGGAATCTAGTGGGCCCTACTCTCAAAGTGCCCGGAAGACTCCAACAACCAACCAATCTCTCCCAAACACATTATCAAACAATTGTATTGAGCAACTATTATCTATTGCCCAGGGTTAAGGATTGCCTAAATCTGTACCGAACTCTGTATTGAACTGGTTTCTGAGCGTCAGATTAGGCCCCACTTAAGTCTTTGTCTCAAGGTTTAGCATACTCTTACATTCTTGAGATTTCAGTTGAATTCCAGTCGTAACCTTTCTTTTTTTTTTAACCTGTCAAATATATATTGCTAAAAGTAGAATACTGTCTCTCCCTACTAAAAATGCCTAGCATTTTATCATTTTTAAAAGTAATTTTCTCAGACTGAGTTTAGCCAGAGAACACAGGTTTCAGATCCCTTTCCTTTCACCCTCCCTCCTTTTTACCAAGAGTAAAAAAATTCTACAGATAACAAACATCTAAAACTTGGCTCTCAGTGTGATCTTTGTCCATAGTGGTTTTACACAGATTCTTTTGGGACAGGCATAATCCTGGGCCTTCACAATTATTTCATTTATTCCTTCAATAAATATGGAGCAAATAAATACTGGGGCAAACATCGTGCTCTGAATTACATTGGAGCCTGCTCTGAGTAAATGAAAGGGGTAGGACCGACCTGCTCTTTTACTGGTGCCATTTGCTCTTGCAAAACATTTAAAAAATAATTATTCTAAGGTTAGAGAGAGGGAGAAAGAAAAGACGAAGTGATTTAGAGCCAAGAATGATATTGTGAGACAAATAATAAATAAAGCCAAAGATAAGAAAAGAATGGAGAAAAGACTAGAGATAAAAACGGCATGGGGTGGTCCTACTGCAAGCTATAAGATTCAGCCCAGAGCCTCAAGTGGTTATTGAGTACTTACATGTGGGTACTGCAACTGAAGAATTGACCTGCTCATTTTAATTATTTTAAAATTGAAGCAGTTTAAAATATTTTCCCATAAACTCAAATTTATTGTTTTGGTAGAACAACATATTTAACTGTAGAAAACTTCTAGTCTAACATGGAGATGCGTTGTAAATGTAAAATACATATTTCATCACAAAGACTTGGTAGGGAAAAAGTAAACTCACATATTTTTACACCGATTACGTGCTGAACTGATATTTTGGATATATTAGGTCAAATAAAATAATTATTGCAATTAATTTCTCTTGTTTCCTTCTAAATGTTTAATGTGGCTACTAGAAAATTTAATATCATGTAAGTGGTTCAAATTATATTTCTATTGGACAGCGCTGCCATACGGGAAATTCTTTGTCCTTTGGCTGCTAAATTCAGTTGCTGTGGTAACTAAAGGGGCCTTCAGGCTCCTTGTTTCCTGGAAGACAGGGTGAGATGGGGGAGGGGAGGTACGTCCTCAGGGAAGATTTTCTTGGATCTCACCGTCCAACTTGTCCTCAGTTCTCTCAGCTAACAATCAGATTTAGAAAATACCCTCATTTAAAGAAAAGTGATAACATAATCTGGTTTGTTTCAGGTCCAGTTGTTTCAGTTTGTATTCTAGGCCCTCAACCAAATGCCCAAAGGAATATGCACTTCCTCCAACTTACTTAGAAAAATTGTGTTCATTTAACTTGTGTTTCTCTCAACACACACCCTCTCCCCCCATATTGAAGGGGTTGCTGGGTGACAAATTAATGGGCATTAGGAATTTGACCAATGATATTTCTCTTCCTTCAAATCTATATTTTCTCTTACTTACCCAACTCTTTAACCAGTAGTTTGTTTTGCTTTGTTTGTTCTCACACTGGAGCCTCCTCTCTCCTTTTGTTATCCTGCATCCTCCTCTCTTCCCATTTTTCTTATCTGTTTTTTTCTACTGTTTTCTTGTATAACTTAGTAATGAGATATTTACCTTATACTTTTCTTTCAGGAAATTCATAGTCCATAGTTAATATATTGATAATTCTCTCCTGTTGTGTAAGAATCATTTGGCCTTGCCCCCAACCTGCCCTTTTTTTTTTTTTTTTTTAGGTTGAATCGGGGAAATCCTGTAAATCCTTTAAGGGCCAGGACTTTTTTTGCCCTATTTACTGATGAATCCCCAGCTTCTTGGAGAGTACCTGATACATAGTGTGTGCTCAGCCAATCAATACCTGATTAACTGAATTTGATAATTGTTCCATCTCTAGATGCTGTAAATCTGAGAGCAGAGGCAAAATTTGCAGAATGGCTAAAATTCAGAATGAGTGGTATGGTGAATGCCATATTAAGGAGTTTGGATCATATCCCACAGGCAGTTGATTCTCTTCTTCCTGCAGATTAGGGGAGTTGGTCTGGCTTCTGGATATTCAGGTTTCCTTCCTACCCGGAGTGATTGATTTTGCTAATCAGAGGACAAGAAGAGCCCCAAACTGGCAAATTCTTGCCTCCGTTTTCTCGTCCCAGATTGTCCTTCCCTCTCCTTCAGGATTGTAGACCTGGCCAACAATCAAAAAGTAGCTGATAAATTCATCAGATCATGAATTCTGTTTACACTCCTTCAAACAACCTTAACTCTCAGATAGTAGCACTCACTCGACTTTGCCTTACAGATAGCATTTATTCTCATCTTTTTACAGATTGATTCAATTCTGAGCAGATGCAAGAGCAAAAAATAAAACGTATTTGCCCTACCTCCAGGCTTTTCTGTAGCGCTTTGTCTGTGAAACTAAGAGGCTGTATCTGCTAGTAGAATAGGGAAGGGGGACTAGCTTAAAAAAGCGTAGTGGGGAGGGCGAAGGATGTGGTTTTTAAAGTGGGCACGGAGGGAGTAGTTGGACTAGGGTGGGGGCTGAATTAGAGGTTACAAAATTCCGAAAGGTCACGGGATTATTTGGGGCGGGTCAGGGGAGGGGCTCGGGGGGGCTCGGCTCCTTCTTAGGCTCCACCCTTTGCAGAAACTATAAAAATGTGCCTGATGCTCTCTCTAACGGTGAGAGCGCGAGATACAGAGCATTAGTGAGGACCAGAAGAACTTGCTGGCAGTGAAGGACATTTTGAAGGTTTTGTGGTCTGGAAGAAGCGTCTCTGGAATCCCACTCCTAGATCTTTCTTGAAGATTCGAAAATAATTAAATTAGGGCCATGGGGACACAGAAGGTAAGAATGATACAATTACCAGTTATTTTTGCTTGTTTGGAGTATGCTGGGAAAGGCAAACCGTAATGATGATTGCTGTATTCTGTTTTATTCTGTCACTAGCCATCTTTCAGGCCCTTTCATTTCTTCGCCAGCCTGTGATGCTACAGTTTCACCAGTTCTCTCTTAATGTTATGCCCTATAAAGGATTTATCTCTGTTCTGCCACCTTCCTGTCCTAGGGAAAATCATCCAGAGAAGTTGTGTTTGTTGCTCAGGATTATTTTACATAATTACACTCATCTGAGGATAAGCATCCGAGACTGCTCGCTTGTGTTGATTCCTAGTGTGGGCCTGGAAACAGTATGAGAATTTCTATGGAAGCATTAGACCTTAAAAAGACCTGAGATTGGTTTGAGGGCTTGGGTCAGTGTCCAGTCATCTGTTCTATGACCTCTGGGATTCCCCTGGATACTAAAGAGAGGGAGTTCCAGTCGTCCTTCCCATCGTGGCTATGACCGTGAGAGCGTGGTACAGTAATATATTACTGTGTGTTTTGTATGCCGTATTTGTAGGAAGAGAGGCATTTTCACTAAGGTAAACTTATTTGAAAACAAAGGAAGATAAGAGAAGGGATGAAAAAATGGGAAGAGGAAAAAGCCCTCGAGGATGGTACTGATGAGGGGAAAAGAGGTTTTTATGAAAGGGAAATGGATTAAACGGAAAGAGCTCTGCCCTGGCAGGGGTGCTTGTGCCTCGTTGCCTGGGCGGCAAGGTCCATTTGGGGAACTGAAAATCAGCAGCCTGCCACTCTTGTCTGACTAGAGAGAGGAGTTTAAGGAGTGTTTGGGTCCTGTAGAGGATGGCCTCAGGTATAAATGTTGAGCTACCCTGAGGCGAAATCCACGATAATACCCACTTGAATTATTCTAGTAAGCTGAGAGATGACTGGTTTGATTTTTACCCCCTCCCCCGCCAAGAGATGTCTCCTCTGTGTTGGGCTGGGAGTGAACTTGTGCTCTCCCCCTGCTGGGTGGGGGACAGCAGTACAATTTTAAGTAAACTGGAAGAATTTCACGTGGGGCTGGGATGCAGCGGGTCGATGGATACGTGATCCAGAGAGAGACAAAAGAGAAGCTCAGTGGTGAAGACACACCACCACCAGCACCACTCCAGGGTGTCTGTGAAATCAGCCTACAGGCGAGATTGCAAGATCTAACTGTTGCCTAAATAATCTGTTCTTAGGAATCCTGTCTTCCTGTGCCCTCCTAATTCTTTCATTCCTCAGAACAATCGTTTGCTTTTTTTTTTCACCTGAGGCAGTTTTTTTAGTGCTTCCAAACTAACCCGGTTCCTCTTAACTTTTCCTTCCCAAATTTCCTTGCCCTTTTTCCTAAATTCACTCTGCATGCTTGTCCATATACCTCCAGATAAGTTCGTCAGTGATAAACTGTTCCTTTGTGTTCTGCATTCCTCACCTAACTCTCATCAAGTTTTCATACCACTCATAGGCCAACTGATCCTAATTTTCCAATCAAGAGTTTTAAAAGGTTGTTTGTTCCCTTCCCCACCCCCACTCCCACCCCTCCAGGTGACCGCACCGCTGGTCTTTGCCATCACCATTGCTACCATAGGCTCTTTTCAGTATGGCTATAACACTGGAGTCATCAATGCCCCTGAAACGGTGAGTGCCAGGCAACTGGAATTAGAATTTGGAATAGAGAAAGTATTCCTTTAAGTTGGGTTTCAAGAATTAAGAATTTCTGACAAACTTTGTATCTAGTTTGGCTAAGACTGAAGAGGGAGAATGATATTAGGGAAGTCTACATGAATTATTTTTCAGAACAAAAAGCTCAGTTGCTCCCTATACCCTGAACTGTACCCATTCTTCCTCTCACTCTGCGTTGATATACTTTCTTTATTATCCCTTAGGGGTTAGTTGCAAAGAAAGTGGAGGTCTCTTAAAAGAGGGCTGGGGTGATCACTGAATATCAGTGCTACTATCTACTGCGATTTTCAGAACAATTAAAAAGTTGTTCTATTCAGAATTAGTAACATTAACTCCAGTGGTATCTGTCTCTTCCATCTCCATCTAGTCATCTTCCTGCTTCTCTATCTATGACGTAGTTAGTGATTGTAATGCTGTTCTCTTAGGGAGGGGAAGATCCCCAATATTTGTCTTTTTTCTCATCCAAATGTAACAATCTGCCCTCCCACCAACCGTTTTAATTTGCAGATCATAAAGGACTTTATCAATTACACTCTGGAAGAAAACTTAGAAAACCCTCCCAGTGAGGTGCTACTCACGTCCCTCTGGTCCTTGTCTGTGGCCATCTTCTCTGTTGGTGGTATGATTGGATCCTTTTCCGTTGGACTCTTTGTCAACCGCTTTGGCAGGTATTGACCAGAAACTGGGCAAGGAGGGGCTGTTCTGGTTGCAGTGAAGACAAGTATTGAGAATTAGGATGGGAAGGTGATGATGCATTTGAATGAGAGCACCTCAAATTCTGATTAAGGGAAAATCTAGTCCAACTCTCACTGAATATGTCTCTTCTTGCTTGGAGCTCTGCTACCCTGCATAGCTTCCACCCAGCCATCAAGAGATGTGCCATGTGAATGATTTGGCCTTTGCAGTACAGTTTAAACTAATTCGGTTATTTTCTAGTGAAATTCACTATGGAGTTTCCCAGAAACATACTTTATTTACAAGGTTAGAAGTTGTTTGCTTTTCTTAAAAGTTTTGGGGTTTCGTGAAAATGTTTTAATTATTTTACACAGCGGGAGTGGGAAGAAATATTTTGTAATCCCAGGTCTTTGGCAAATGCGGATAATGGCCGAATAACTGAACTGAAATATTTTTTCCTGAAAAAAGAAAATTGAGTCTTCTTACTTTCTTTTGCTGGCTTAATAAAATGTCTTAAGAGAGTAGAATACTCTTAGTAATGACTGGTGAAGGAACCATTTAATTTGCTAATTAGGTGTTCTGGAAGCATAAATGGAATTCGGGTTTTAAAAAAATGAAAGCAACCTATTTTCTTTAATAATGTTTGATTTTTTTGTTTGTTTGTTTTTGAGGCTACGTTTTGTATGCTAAAGTAATCAAACTTTTTAGTATGGGTTTCCCATATCTAACATGGCTTCTTCCTATTGTTATTTTATTAGCAAAAGAACCAGTAGAGGAGGGGGGAAATGGGGATAGGAAAGCAGAGAAAGGTAAAATTGAGGATGAGGGATGAGCTTTTTCTCTTAAAAGGGTTCTCTACTGTGGCTGCACATTTAGGATCTCCTGGGGAGCTTTTAAAAGTCTCAGTGCTAGACCACACTGCAAGCCAATTAAATCAACATCCCTGGGGATGGGACAGAGTATCAGTATTTTCCAAAGCTCCCCAAGAAATTCCAATGGGCCACCCAGGTCAAGAGTCAATGTCAAAGTATGGTGGTGCCGGTTCTTCTCAAAAGCTTTAGTAATTTTTCAATGTTAATCTTTTACTTCTGCCTTTGATCAGCTGTTTCAGTGGCTCTGCCTCCCACATTTTTAGTGCATAAATGCAGTAATTTATTATTTGATACTGGTTATCAGTACTAATTATTAATGGCATCACCACAGTCCAGCCTAGAGAAGGAGAGCTGAAGTTGACTGCTTTGTGCATAAAATTTTCTCTGATGCAGAAAAACTTGTCTGAAATAGTCTAGCATCGTTAGTATGTTGATGATATAGCTAAGCAACAACTACATTATACCTAAATGCTGTGAGAAGCATTGGTCCAAAAATTTCTTGAGTGTGTTCATGGACTGGCAATATCAGAATTGCCTGGGGCAGTAGTTCTCAGGCTCTAGCTTACACCAGTCACCTGGAGGGCTTTTTGGAACACAGATTGCTGGGCCTCACCCCTGAATCAAACCTAACGATTTAATAAATCTGTGGTGAGAGGGGACAGTTTTAATTTCTAGCAAATTCCTAGCTGAATCTCTTAGTTTGTGGACCAGTGGCCTAACGTGCTTGCTAAAATGCTAGGCTACAGCTAGGACTTGGAGAGGAGAATTTTTTTTTTTCTTTTTTAAGAATTTTTATGAGCTTGAGCCAAACTGAAAACATTGTTGAGAAGAGAGATCTCAAATGCTCCCTAGAGAGGAGAATCTTAACCAAGTTCTCTAGGTGAGTTTTATGCGTATAAAGGTGTATTAAGAACCATTGATCTTGGTTATCCCGACTAAAAGTGTTCTGATGATAGGGAGTAGAAAAGTTAGACCAAAAGAAAATATGTGTGTAGTGAAGAGTAGAATTAGGAAAGAAGGGGAAGGATAGGGCCTGTTTTGCTAACTTTACTTGTCTTTGTTTAACCTTTCAGGCGCAATTCAATGCTTATCGTCAATCTGTTGGCTATCACTGGTGGTTGCCTTATGGGATTCGCCAAAATAGCAGAGTCAGTTGAAATGCTGATCCTGGGCCGGTTAGTTATTGGCCTCTTCTGCGGACTCTGCACAGGTTTTGTGCCCATGTACATTGGAGAGGTATCTCCTACTGCCCTGCGGGGGGCCTTTGGCACGCTCAACCAGCTGGGCATCGTCATCGGGATTCTGGTGGCCCAGGTACTCTAGAACTTAAACTTAATGAGTGTTAGTTTCATGGCTCATTAAATGAGTTAACATAGATAAAGCACTAAAAAGAATGTCTGGCACATATTCTACAATACATATTCCAGATATTATCATTATAGCTATGAGAGAACAGATGAAGAAGCAGGCAGGGTAGAGAAAGGAAAAGAAATATCTTCTTTTCCTGTGGTAAAAGCATGGGTGGTTTTCTGAACTTTTTGTTTGTTTTAATCAATTTGTGGCCTATAAAGTACGGAATTTATAGTATTATCTTTGGCTCGTTTCTAGATATTTGGCCTGAAATTCATCTTAGGGAGCGAAGATCTTTGGCCTGTGCTGTTGGGTTTCACCATCCTTCCAGCTATCCTGCAAAGTATAGCCCTTCCATTTTGCCCTGAAAGTCCTAGATTCATGCTCATTAACAGGAAGGAAGAGGAGAGTGCTAAGAAGAGTGAGTATCCTTCACACCTTCACTGTAGGCATGTTAGGGTTGTGGTTTGTTTTAGGATGAGGATACTGGATCCTATTTTATGTCATCTCCTTTCCCTGCCTCTCAGAACCCAAATAGAGTTTTCTTACTACTCTTAAGTTGGGAACTTTCAATTCCTGATGAAGTGAGAAGGTAAGTTAAGATATGGATGCTGATTGGTTAGCCATGTCCAGGGCTCATCTCCTGTGGTTCTTCCCCAGCCATCTTATGGGAAAAATGAACTTGGGGACAGCACTTTATCCTTTCCTCTTTGTTCTCTTTTCCAGTCCTCCAGCAATTGTGGGGCACCCAGGATGTGGCTCAAGACATCCAGGAGATGAAAGAGGAGAGTGTTAGGATGGCACAGGAAAAGCAAGTCACTGTGCTGGAACTTTTTAGAGTACGCAGTTACCAACAGCCCATCATGATTTCCATCATGCTCCAGCTCTCTCAGCAGCTCTCTGGAATCAACGCTGTGAGTATCGGTTTTTCTGTACAAGGTGCCCTACAATATCCCATTTAAAACCTCTGACCAAAGGTGAATAGCATTAGTTTTTGCTCACCTTTTTACACAGAGAATCCCTCACAATGCTTGTCACATAGCAGCCACTCATAAAATGTTGATTGTCCTGGTTTTTATTTGGTTTTGTTTTTAGTTCTTAAAATTTTATTTATAGTTGATGTTTTCCATGTGGAAAAATGAGAAAATAAATATAAATGAAAAAATTTGTCACCCTTAGTCTTGGAATGGATAGTTAACATTTGTCTTCTTCTAGGCTTTTTTTTGACATGTAGAGCAACACGAATTTATCTAATTTTTATAAATTCTTTTTTGACCACTTATTTTTTATCTCCAGCCCTCTTTAACTCTGATCTATCTTGTATGATGTAATCAATGATAATGTAAGTTATACAGCCAGAGTAGATCTGAGAATTGATGTGCCTTGGCTTTTCTCCAGGATCTTAGATTCTAAAATCAGTGTAAAACCCTGGAGACCAATTAGGAAATCAATTCAAGAGGACTAGAGGCATACTGGCAACTGCAGACTGAGGTGGCCTTCCCAGTCTATTTCTTTTTTACAACTAGAATAGAGACTTTTTTACAACTAGAATAGATAGTTTAAAGTGGGGGGCAAAATTCAAGGTAGCATTTGGCAGGTAGCCCTTATATTCTTTGCAGATTTCGGCCTCCTGCTTTCGAGTCTTGATTGTGGGAAGAAAAGGTATTACTGTACCTTCTATCCATTTGCAGATAAAGTATTTAGCTGCCGACTTGGTCGTCAGATAGACTGTATTAGCATTGCAGTGCTGTGTTCAAGTAACCCTTATTTTATTGTCACAGTTGTTTTATTATTAATGTTGTTAATCTCTTACTGTGCCAAATTTATCAATTACAATTTATCATAGGAATGTATGTATGTATAGGAAAAAATGTAGTTTTTGGTACTATCTGCAGTTTCAGACATCCACTGGGGAACTTAGAACGTGTCCCCCGCAGACAAAGCCAGGACTACTGTACTTGTGTTTGAAATAACTGCTTCTCGTGAGGTATTAGAGGCTGTTATATCAGATCCTGGAAGTAAAGGTTGTTGAAAAAGCCTCTAGGGTGATTTGCTGGATTCCAGTCTCAAATCTCCTCATTTGAAAAATCACTCTTAAAACTTTCCAGAGCAGCAGGGTTGGGACTTGAGTGAGGCATCGAGGTAGCTGCAGGTGCATATTCCTGAGAGTGATGGCTCCCTTAGAGTATGCACCCTAGGCGCCTCACTAGTATCTAGGATGCATAATTTAGACCCCAGTCTGGACTCTGCAAAATAGGATCAGAAAAAGACCACTCTTGGAAAATTGCAAATGATTGATAGGCACTCTTCAGGACAGACCCCTCCCGCTTCAGGAAATGGTGTGTGAAGATGAGTTTTCTAACCTACCTTTAAGTGATTGATGTTTTCCAATTTCTCTTTAAAAAGGCAGGTGGTAAGAGGTTGAATAATGTTTATCTAGTGGAATAAAACTGCTTTTTAGGTAAGACGAGAAAAAAGTTAGCTTCACCTGGTTTGGTGGCACCAGATAGCAAGGTAATTTTACTATAAGAAATTTACTTGGGATGTGTACGTATTCATTAGGTTTTTGATGTATACACTTTTATATAAGGAAGAGAACTGGCATAAGTATTCATTGCTAGTTTTAACTGTTCAAAAAGCTGACTCTACAAACCTGTTTCAAAAGCGCAACCATAACCTTATTTTTTAAAATATAGATATACATAGTTTCTATCATAGGTTTTGGCGATTTGAAGAGTTGTTTCTTGAGAAGGTAAATCCCATCGTGGAAGCATATTATATTCATTAAAATAAACAAAAACCCTGACAATAACTACTGCAGAGGCAAATACTCCGATTGAAATAGTAAATTCCTGAATTAAACCTGAGGGACTGACTGAACCTGATATAGATACTGTTCCCTTGTTAACTTAAATCTGAGTCCAATATTTTGACATCTTTTAAATTCTGATAGTTGCAGAAACTATGTTTTAGCACAGTGTTTAACATAATATAAATAATATGTATGAAATATGTAGTAGTTTATTTAATAGTATATATTAAAATATATAAACTATAGTTCTGCTACTGATTATACAAGCAGGCCAAGGTTACTCAATTTCTTCGCTATCGAATTGGGACCTCAGTATGCCTGTCACTGTTTTGAGGCTTCGGGAAATTGTTCATTGAAAAACTTAATAAGACTTAAACCAAAACTTTACATATAAGTAAATAAAGTAGACATAAGGAAGCGACTAAAAGGAGTAGCAGAAGTAATCATAGTTAAAGTAAAAAATGCAAATGAGTAGCTAGAATTGAAGAGAATTAAAAAGAGAATAGAGATAAGATACAGAAGATAAAAAGGACTCTTTGTTTCCTGGAACTTCCAAGGTTATTTTTCAATGCTTCTATTTAGCCGCCATTGGCCATGGACAATAGCTGTTCGAAAGTTGCATTTTCTTTTGTTTCCTCCTAGGTGTTCTATTACTCTACAGGAATCTTCAAAGAAGCAGGTGTTCAGGAGCCCATCTATGCCACCATTGGTGCGGGTGTGGTTAATACCATCTTCACTGTAGTTTCTGTAAGTTGGATGGTTTGATCATTTTGGGGGAAGTGGGAGTAAGAAGAGGAGGAATTCTTGCTACCCATGTTCAAAGATAGGTTGCCTCTCCTTCCACCTCCTTATTATTATTTAAACTTTTTTGTTGTTGTTTAATTCCTCTTTGGGGAAAAAGATATTGAATGACGTATGTAAATAGTCTTCACTCTTCAAACGAATATAGAATGGTTGGGAAAGAGGGAGGTGTTGAAAGTGTTAATAGGATTTTTTAAACTTCAAATTGGAAGGGGGTAAATGTGACTCTTAACGAGAACCCTGCTACTGGTAAAGCAGATTTGTGTAGCTCATAGAGCATCTTTATTTGTGAAAGCAGAAGTTTCATGTTATATTATTCTTTTAGCTGTTTCTGGTGGAAAGGGCAGGAAGGAGGACTCTACATCTGATTGGCCTGGGAGGGATGGCTTGTTGTTCCATCCTCATGACTATTGCTTTGTTATTAAAGGTGAGTGCTTTTCATTAAAGGTGAGTGCTCTTTGGGGGAAGGAAAGGGAGGGGAGGAGGAAAGGAGAGGTTACAGTTGACTCTGTGACAGGTGGGTGGTTGGGGTTGGAGATTATCAACTTTAGAGAAGCAGCATGCCCAGAGTTTGAAGAAAAGTAGATCATACAGATAGGTAATTAAATTGCTATGATTCTTACAGCTGTATAACATAGCTTGTAAAATACATTATGTGATTTAATTCTTAAAGTAATCTTGACGTAATTATTCCTATTTTACAATTGATGAAATGATCTAGTGCACAATGATAT